TGTGCCTCCAAGGCTGGCTGATCCTTCTGCTGGGGGCTGTCTCTGTGCGCGTTTGGTAGACTCGAGACTACAAGGACTTCGATCTTGCCTGGGTTCCTAACGTGGGTCTCGCCTTAACTCTCTTCCAGAGGGCAAATGAAAGACCGCCGTTGTGAGCACGTTCTCGGAGATACTTCCTTTTCTCTTCCAAAACACACCGGCCCTTTTACATGTAGCCCCATGACATCCCTGATGGGTTAAAAGCACTGTATTTAAACAGCGTTTGGCCCCCTGATTTCATCTGTGTTGCCACACCAAACCACATTAGTGAGTTTCAAATCGCCTTGATTGGCTCCAGGCTCCCTTCCTGTCCCTGGACAGCTAAGCGGTTGTGATATCACCAAAAAGGTGGGAAGGAAGAAAGAGAAGAAAGAGAAGCCGGGCCCGGAATAATCCTCACTGAGTCACCATTTCCTGAATGATGGAGCGCGCTGCTTCGGGGGATGGCGAGGTTGGAATTAGAGAAGCACGCCCCTCCCGTCCTTCGGCAGCGGCGGGATCCGGGGCCGGGTGGGCACCCACGTGCTGGAGCGCCCTCCTGTGGCCGCACCGCAGCCCCCGCGGCGCCCGCTGGCCCGCAGACCACGCTCCCCGCGGCGGAAGAAACAAGAGACTCAGAAAGTTTCCGAGCCAGGCGGTTTGCGAAAGGTCGGAACCCGGTCCTGGAACCAGGACTCACGGGCGCAGCGGGAGCAGCGCCCCGGCCCGCGGCGACTGCTAAAGTCGGGGCTCAGACGGACCCCCCAAGGGCTCCGACGGACCCCCCAAGGGCTCCGACGTGCCCCCCGCACTGGTCCAGGCCTCCAGATGCCGAGCGCGGAGGACTTCTCCCTGCACCCTGACCTTAAGCCAGAGGGCGGAGGGGGTGGGCCCACTGTCAGGAACATTGCCCCCACACCCAGCTGCGGGGCACGCTTGGGGCGCTTAGGTTTGCCTTGTTCGTTTTCTTAATTGGAGGGAGGGGGCGCACCAACTCCCTTTGCTCACTGTGATCCACAGCAACCTGAATTCTGGGTGCCCCCAAAGAGCCCACCTGGAGTCCACCGCCCCACCCAAAGCCCCCCTGCGCCGCCGGGGTGTCAAGTGGAAACCTCAATTCTCCTTCCTCCTCCTTCCAGCCGTCTGGCTTAGGAGGTCATGTTCAGCCCGGATTTCCCTGCAGCCCGCAGGGGGCCCGCCGGCCGGGAGGCAGCAGCGGGGGACGCGGCACCCCGGGGCGGGGGGCCGAGGGCCAGGAGCCGGCGAGGCCCGGCCGGGCACAGCGCTTACCTCGTCCACGGTGAGCGGCATGCAGATCCGATACTCCTTCAGCAGCATGGTCCTGCCGGCCGCGGACTCCCGGAGCGCGAAGCAGGGGGCGGGGGTGCGCCCCCCAGACCAACGAGGCTGCCGCCCAGGCGCAGGGCAGGGCGCCCGGAGCCCGGCGCTGGGAGCCGGCCGGCAAAGCAGCACTGACGGTGCGCTCAGCTCCTGGCTGCCCCCTTTCCGCCCGAGAGCATGTCAAGGTTTGGGTCCCGGTGTTCGCGGCTCCCCGCCTCCTTCCTCGCCGTGGTCGGTCCTCCTGGAACGCGGTGTTGCAAAGTCAGGGAGGGAGACCGGTGGAGACGGCTCGGATCGGCAGCCCGGGGCGGTAGGAGCGGCCGCCAGATCAGGACATGCCCGGCAGCGGACGAGGGAGGAAAAAAGGGAGCTCCCCAAATATAAAAACGACTGCACAAAAGTCACCCGCTTCAGTCGCCTCCGTAAGCAGACTAGAACCTGGCGACCCCCCTCCCCTGGCCAGTCTGCCCAACGCTAATGTCACCAGGAACACATTGCAGCCGGAGATGCTGACTTTCCAGACAAAGGCTCGATCGGCTCCTCTCCGCAGGCGGTAAACAAGATTTCCTGCTCTTTTTAGGGCCAGTCCCTGAGCCGCTCCACGACTCGCCTGGAGAAAAGGGAAGCTGCAGCCGCCGCCGCCGCCGCCCGGCTCTGTCGGCTGGGGCCCCGGGTGCCTCCAACCGCGACTCGCTGCTGCCAGGGGCGGGCGAAAGGAAGCTGGCGCCTTCCGCGCGCGTCCCCTCCCCCGAGTCCCTGGGCTCCCCGAGCTCCGTGCGTGCCCGCGAGTTTGCAGCCACCTCGCCGGGGACGGAGAGTCAGCGCCTAGCTGCAGAGAGCCTGGGGCCGGGGAGGTGGGTGCGGGAGGAGCGAGCGCGAGCGAGGCTGACGTCAGCAGCGGCCGCGGCGGGGAGGGTAGCCCCATCCGGCCAATGGGGAAATGGCAAAGAATGTGGAGGATTTAAACACAACAGCCTGTCTCTCCCCGGCTGCTGCCAGACGGCAGGGCTGCCCCAGAGTCGAGTTCAGTGGGTGCCGGCGTGGATCGGAAAGGGGGGCGTCCCTGGGCTCCTTTACGTTTCGAATCTCTGCTCAAATACGGCCCCTTGGGTGTGACAGTGTTCGGTCCAACCACTCGGGGGGGCTCTGGCTCCCAGGCACAGAAGTGTTCCTTGACCTTTGGAAAGTCTTTGCAAATGCCCACCAAGGACGCGCAGCAAGACGGTGCTCGAACCCCACGTATCCTGTTCCCGCTCCTGGACTCTGCAATGCCGCTGCTGGATTGGCAGAGCACAAAGGATAGGTTTTCGTGTCAGCATGCCTTAAGTTCAAAAAGGCACAGTGAAATGTCAATGAAAATGCCTGGAGTGTTGGTATTTCATCCATATTAAACATCCCTCATTTTAACCACAAGAAGCACATTCTTCCGTTACTTGGGAAGCAGCATGGAACTGCTGAAGTCTGTTTTTCATTTGTCTGGTATTTCGGAACTTGTTTTTCTGAGAAGTTGCTGGATAAAAAAATTCATCCATTGCCTGCATGAGAATGACCTGTAAATATTTTCTCTAAAGTCCTGCAGCTATTCACAGAGCTCAGATGGAGATACACAGGACCTCAATGCCATAGTATTTTCGATTATGATTAATAAGTCATTAATCGATATAGCAGTGATGCGATTGTGGCAAAAGTCATCTTGATACTGGAGAAATTGACAACTGTGCTAACGCGATAGAAACCCTACGAGGAGGCCATTCTACATCCAGTTGACATCGTACTGCACACTATTTTCTTGAAAAATGCTTCCCCAAGTTGGCTTAGAAATATTCACAGCAACTAATTAAAGCTAAACCAAATTCCTCGAGGTGGAAAATCTAAATCTGACACTGTAGTGTTGAATAATAACACATTGAAAGCCTGTGACACAGGGAAAAAAAAAAAAACCCTCAAGCTGTTTTTCTTCTCTTTTCTTTTTTTCCCCTTACTTCTTACTTGAAAACAAGTACAGTACTTCGTTCTGGGCACTTAGTCCTCCCAGAGGCGGCTAGGGAACATACTGGCTAGCCACACATGTGCTTGCACCTAGAACATTAAGACCCCATGCCTGATGGCTTCAATTCTGGTACAAAACATTCTCCCGATGGGTGTTATGGTTGAGGAACCACGTCTCTGAATTTCCCAAACTGTCACCTGTCTTGTGTGTACCTCCCCCTATCCCTGACAACATAGGGTACCTTCCCATTGGATTCTTTTCCTTTCACTCAGTCCATCTGCATGCCTGGTCACATTAATCATGTGTGAGCAGTGCCCCGATCCTGCCCCCTCCAGAGCCTGTAGTGACGCTCTGTGGCCTGCTGAGTCAAGACTCTGAAGCTTTCCCTCCCATGCTAGCCCTTCGCCCTGTCCTCAGCCCTACTCCAAACAAGGGAGACACATTTGTTGGCCACAGAAAGCCTCTACTTTTTTTTTTTTTAAAGAATTATTCATTAAATTTTATGTATTAGTATTGTTCTTCAATTTGACCAGAGAGACAGAGAAGGGGAAAAAGAGAGGGAGAAAGAGAGAGAGAGAGAGAAAGCCACCAAGTCTGAGACCTGAACCATGGTTGGTCCAGGTCGCTGGTGGGAGTCCAGCGTCTTAACTATCTCACCACCTGCTGGTCTGAAGCCTCTGCTTCTCTACGTTGGCCCTCTACTCCTCCCGTGGTCTTCACAGAGACTCCCTCTTCCCAATCCATCCTCCATGTACCAGGATTCAGACAGGCTTTGATAATGTTTTTGGAAAGTGATTCTGATGACTGTGTGTTGGGTGGTTTAGAACAGAAGGATACCTGAGGCAGGAGATTAAAGATGACAAGAGACAGGTTCCAGCAGTTGGTGTAATGGCTATGTTGCTGGACTCCCATGTAGTCAACCGCAGTTCGAGTCCCGGACCCGGTGGCTTAAACTCATGCCGGGTGCGTGTGCGTGTGTGCCCAAGATCCCAAGAGGAGAACGGAGGAGAAGGGATTGTGGCATGGCCATACCCCCTGGGGGGTGATTTCTTGCTTTCTGTCTCTCTGTCTCTGTCTTTCTGGTGAGCACATGCACCCTATAGTGAAAACCTCTCCAAAAAAAAAAAAAAAAAAGAAAAGAAAAGAAAAGAAATTTGGGTTGGACTTAGAAACTGATTGGTATTCACTACAACCAGGCTTAGTTGGGAAGGCATAAGGCAAATTCATTCATAACTCATTCACACTGAGGGGGGAGAGCGCCATCTACTGGTCACTGTGGTTGTTTAAAAATCTAAGTCAAGTGTCTGGCAAAGAGAATTGTATCTTTGTTTCTTTTCAATGAAGTGGCAATATGTACTTACAAAGAGCCTTGGAAGTGTTGCTATTATTATCATGGCTAGTGGTATTGTTCAACTAGAAATGGGCCACCAGGAGGCCAGCAGATGGTGTGGTGGTTAGGATGCTGGATTCCCACACTGGTGACTACGTAGTTCTAGTCCTAGACCAGACAGGTTGACAAAAAATATGCTTAAAACAAAATGCTGGGAATGTGTGCGTGTGCCTGAAATCCCAAGAGGAGAGCGGAGGAGGAGGGATTATAGCCATCCCTCCAGGAGGTGATTTCTCCCCCACCCCTTGTGAATGGGGTGAGGGGGAGGAGCAAGGAAAGGAAGGAGAGCCAGCATGGTGTTTAAAGCACTGGGTCCCACATAGCCAACTCTGCAGTTTGAGTCCTGAACCCAGCAGCCCAAAAACCACATTGGGTATGCGTTTGGGCCAAAAATCCGAGAAGGGATTGTGGTGTGGTCATCTCCCCAGGAGGATGATTTCTCACTTTTGGTCTCTCTCTCTGTTGAACACCCACACAATCTGCAGTTACTGATCACCAAATATTTTTAAAAGAATTATTTATTCAATTTTATTCATTCTTTTTTTTTTTTTTTACTTTGACCAGAGAGGGAATGAAAGTGGGAAGCAAGTCACCAGGTGCAGGACTCAAACCACGGTTGACCATATGGGAGTGTCCAGCCCGTTAGCCACTGTGCCACCTGCTGGTCCCAATCATTGAATACCTTTTTTAAATTAAGGGGGGGGGGTTTCCACAAAAGGTGAAAAGAGGAGCAAAGAGGAGAGTTACCAGAGAGACCAACACGATCAAAATGAAAACAACAGCAGGCAGCACATGTCTGTGACCCCAGGTAAGTGACATCTTGAAGGCAGGGGTTTTCAGGACATGGAATGCAGGAGGTGTGCACCAAGATCAAAATAATCTAAGAACTTTCTACTTTTTTTAAGAGAGCTTTTTGCAATAGGGTGTGAGACAGAGACAGAGAAAGAGAGATAGAAAGCATCCACCCCAGGGTGGATGGCCACACCACAATCCCTTCTCTATTCTCCTCCTGGGATCTTGGGCACGTATACACACGTGCCCCACATGGGTTTCAAGATTCCAGGTCCAGGATTCAAACTGCAGTTGGCCATGTGGGAGTCTAATGACATAACCATTACATCATCTGTTGGTCCCTTAAGGAGCTTTTTCAATCACTGTCTTCAAGGCTTTGCTACCCTTCCTCCTTTCCCCACTGAAACCTCTTTAATCTGTATTTAAAAACAACAACAAAAAAACACGCTGGGACCAGCAGAGGGTGGAATGGTTACATCACTGGACTCCCACAGAGTCGACTGCGGCTTGAGTCCCAGACCCAGTGGCTTAAACCTCATGCTGGGCATGTATGTATGCATGTCCAAAATCCCAAGCGAGAATGGAGGAGAAGAGACTGTGGTGTGGCCATCCCCCTGGGGGGGGGATTTCTCACTTTCTGTCTCTCTTTGTGTTTCTGGCGAGTGCGCGTATGTACCCTATAGCAAAAAATCTCTCTGAAAGCAAAACAAAACAAAAAACAAGAAGTCATGACCCACCTCTATAAACAGCCTCTGAACAAAATGTGTAGGAACAGTCTTTGTGACTATTCAAATCATGTTTTATGCCTAGATTGTCCTCGCTACTTCTAAAGCAAAATATCATGTTTCTCCCTAACTTCCTCTTTCCTACCTAATATATCTAAGGGCCGTAGATTGACCAAGGCCCATTACAAGTCCTACCTCCTACAAAGAGCCATTCTAGAAATGTCTCTACCTTTCTAGACAACCCAGAACACTTACCTGGACTGTTCATTTTGGTTCTGGTCTGTGTGCAAGTATGGCCTGTACGTATGATGGCTCGTTCCATGATCCAAGTGTCTCACTTGTTTGCCGACTCCCCACTGAGGGTGAGCTTCTGGAGGAGACAGACCCTGACTCATCTGCGCCCTCTGGCAAGCGCAGGACAGTGTGAGGGCCGCCGTAGGCATCAATAAACATCTATTGGAGGTGTCCGTGCAGGGTTCTCGGCCTCAGCACCACTGATGCGCGGGGTCAGATCATTCTGTTGTGAGGGTCGATGAAGGGTGTTTGGTAGCACCCCCACCCTACCCACTAGATATCAGTGGCAACACCACGACACCCCAAATTGCCAAATATTGGGATGAGGAGATGGGTGATTAGTGTAACATTCAGTAACCTAATCTAAATGTTTAGTTATTCCAAGAAGCAGCTTTTGGAGAGAATGACTTCCAGCTTGTCAAAACAAAGGATAAGAAAGAAGAAATGGGGGCCAGCAGATGGAGTAGTGGTTAAGGCATTGGACTCCCACATGGTTGACAGCAGTTTGAGTCCCGGATCCAGCACTTAAAACTCACATTGGGTACGTATGCGTGCATGCCCCAAATCCCAAGAGGAGACTGGAGAAGGGATTATGGTGTGGTCATCTGCCTTGGGGGTGATTTCTCACTGTCCCTCTTTCTGTCTCTCTCCACCAAATGCACACACCCTATGGCCAAAAAAAATAATAAAACC